ATCCAAGTAATTCTTGAGCGGGACAATGTCAGCATCTCCAGAATCACTACCAAGATTGTTGTTGTACGAAGGTAAAGAGGACCTCAAGGCCTCTTCTTGCTTGGAACCAAAGCGTGTTGCAAGTCGGTTGTTGGGATCCAACTTTAGTTTTTTCAAGCCAACTCTGAATGTTCCATCATTTCTCTGAGAAGAGACAGTGAAAAACAGTAGGAACCACACAAAGAGCGAAACCGCAACTGTTCTTGTGTATACTCCCATTATTTCACCTACAAAATCAAAGCATTCATCAACAAACTGAAACAAATAGGAGTTACAAAAACATGCAAGGCAACTAAGAACACTCTTCATACTAAATGCTAATTAACAGAATGTGGAGCTTAAAAAATACTGTTAGAGTTTGCAACACAAAAGAGCTTTTGACAATGATAATTGTTAGATAAAAATTAATCTCTTGAAAACATTTCAGAAATAGTGAAATTACACATTCAATAAATTGTTAAAGCAAATAATCTGACGACAACAAGATCCAGGACCATGTATTTTCAGTTTATAACGATTAATAATACGAATGTGTGACAAATCGAAACAGAGTATTAAAACATGCTCACTTTCCTGAGAAAATTACACTATGATTACAAAATCAAACATGCTTATTTTCTAAACAAATCAGAACAAATATCTCATCATGAATCACAGTTGGAAAACATGAAAAAAAAAAAAACAGTAAGATTTGCTGAATCAAACCAACACTAAAACATCAGATTTGAACATTTTGAAGACAAAAACCAGACATGCAAAAACACATACAAATTCACGAACACATAATCTAATAGAATCCAAATACAGATCATGCAAAATACAATCTTAAAACATCAGAAAACGAAATTAACCAAAAAAAATTAAAAAAAAAAATTGGAAACACCTGAAGTTATCAAGAATCAAAGAGCTCGGAATATTTAGGGGGAAGAAAACGAAGAAATAGCAATGAGATCGATAATAGTAGAAGAAGTGTTACTTAGAACTGACCAGAGTGTTTAAACACCAGATTCTGAGAAAGACCACAACGGTTTCATTATCGAGGAAATATTATGCAGCCACGACATTAAAGTGGGACCTACCTAAGTTTCGTTTTGATCTAAGCCGTTGAAATTTAATAGGCTAAAGGTTTTTGACCGTTGACGTTGTGATAAGATATGACCCACCAACTTTTGTTGGTAAGTTGCTACACTCGAGGTTATAATTTTGCTCTTTCGGATCTTTATAACTGTTTAATTTAAGTTAATTAGACAATTTTATAATTTTTAAATTTTTAGATTGGTTTTTCTTGTGTTGATAAGTTTCTAGATTTTCAATTTTTTTAGAAAAAAAAAAAACATAGTTGAAGAAAGTTAACAAAAAAAAGTCATGTCTAGAGAGTTTTTAAGCACGGAAACTTTGACATTCAAAAAAAAAAAAACACTTTGACATTACCAATTACATGTAAATATGTAAATCTAATCAACTGAGAATTTCTCAGTATTTATCATAAGACTCAAAACCATTTAACTTCCGTAAATTCGCATCAGAACTCATGTTTATATAGTTTCTCTTTTCATGGGCCTTAAAAGCTCATTATCTATACTTGTAATGGGAAATGCTAGTTGTGTCTTTTAGATTTGGACAATGGAGACATGTTCTCTGTCCAGGTTTGGCAAAATACTCTTTCTAATATATAATATGGCTCTTGAATTATAAACATTTGACACATTACAAAATGGAATGTGGCAAATATTTTTCTAATTGTTTTTCTTCTTTGTAGATGATTTTGTATACTTTCATTTTTGAACCGTTTCCACAAGTTTTTAAGACATCAAAATTTATCCAGTTTAGGTTATTTTGTGATTGTTTAAACATTGATTATTTATTGAGAAGATGAGAAAATGAGAAGATGAGAAGTATTTTTTGAAAAAAAAAAATTGATTATTTTGTTTGAGAATATGAGAAGTCTCGAAGGCTAAAGAAGAAAGCCAAAAAGAACCATGAAGTAATTTCTTGATCTCTTCCTTTCTTATGTGCAATTTGGATGTAAAAGAAAATGTGATCCACCGGAATCCATGATCATATCATGTGAGACCAATATTTGTATCCTATTCCCAAGCTCCTCTTTTTTAGCTTATTTGTTTCTCATATAATACCTTAGTTTTTATCTTTATAATAGTGGTGTATTTCCAAGTGTGTTCGATTCTGAAAATTTCTACTTCCAAAGATATGTGTAGAAGAAATTCATACCAGGATACCTCATTCATGAGGATAACCTTCTCACATTCATATCCCAACGTTGGGAAGAATCTCTATACCCTTACTTTATAAAAATGAGCTTTGGTTCTCCTTAACAATAAAGGGACTATCATGTAGTTGTGTCTTTAGTATTCGTTCCAACCTAAATACACAAAGAAATTACGATGATGCAAATGAGTTTATCACAAAGCCATACTAGTAACCAATAACCATCATTACAAAATGGAAGTCATAATATTATACAATATTTTTCCATAAATTCTATTGGATAACAGATTTATCATTCATGTAGTTCAGCTAAACCTAATTGTTTCATGTAAGTTTAGACCAACGTTTATGGATCCAATTTTAGTCTACCTCGAACTTTTCCTTGAAAAATTCAGCATTTGATATCCAAATTTTTGATTAATTTCGAGAGTGATTAGATCTTTAATTAAATAGTTTTTTTTTGCAAACCTACAACGATAAGCATCAAAACGAAAATCGAAGTGATTAAGCGGGCACGCGCAACCATAATGAATAAAACGACTGCTATTAATCAACGTGCCAACTAATATATTTGTATTACCAATAGACTTATACTCTTTTACCAACCATATTGTAACAACCAATTAAACGTCTTGATTTAGGAAGAGTCCTAAAGATGGACGAATGGGTTAAAACAAGTATATGACCACATGCAGACATGTGACTCAACGACTCCCTTTTCAAAAGTCGTAGAGAAGTCTCTCTTCTCGACCTCACGTAAACCATATGAATATCTCATAACTTCCAAAATTAAAATGGTAAATAATTAACGGCGGCTTTATAAATCCATGACTTTGCATTTTCTTGATGTCATCTAATTTATACTCCCTCTATTTCAGAATATAGGATGTTTTAGAGTTTTTATTTTGTTTCAAAATATATGATATTTTGCAACTTTCTATGCAGTTTTAAATGTATTTGATATTTTATGGCTGTTTGTATTCTGCAGTCTTTTCTCTAATTGATTGAATTTTTAAAACCAAATATTAAATGATACTAGTTTTAAGAAAGCAAAATAAATTTTCTTAAAATGTGTGATTTCAAACAAAACTTCATATATTTTGAAACAGAGGGAGTATTTTATATACTTAACATTTGACGAGCAGTTTACCCATATTACTTTTTTTTTAAGAAACACGGAGTAATTAACAGCTACTCGTTTTTTTATGGCGGTTTTTAAAAAATACCATTTTTATGATCCCATTTTTCACATATTCTACTAAGGGAAAAATTATTCAAAAAATACCATTTTATAATCCGTATTCTAAAACTTTGTAAAATCCTTTAAAACTTTATAAATATTGTATAACATTCGTTATAAGATCTTTAAAAAATTACGAATATTATTCGTTGGTCAACTGCTAATACAAATATTTTTAAAATCATTAATTAAAAAATTATAAATATGTAATTTTATTATTTTTAAATAGTAAAAAACTAATTCAGTAAAATTTTATAAACTCATATTTTTCTAAAATATGAACAATGAAAAAAAAACTCTCTATACATTTATAAATATATTAATATCACTATAAATTAATAAAATATTATGATTGTGACATTTTCAATTTATATAAGTACAATTATAATTTACTTTTGTAAAATGAAACAAATTAAATTAAAACGTCAATTATTTTAATGGGGATGTACTCAATATAGGTTAGGATGCCAATTATTTAAATGTTTTGTTTTTGGGTTCATGATATGCTAATTCAACTTTGTTTTGTTTTTTTTTGTCAACAACTTATATTAATATTGCTAATTCAACTTCGTTTCCAATTAGAGTTCTGTGAGCTTTTTATTGGACAAAAACATAAAATCTTATAAGGTTTATCTCCTGGAAACAGAAAAAAAAAAAAAAACAATTACTACAAGATTAAAACTGGAACTATAAAAAAAAAATGAGAGTAGGTCCTTTAACAAAAAATAATAAAAAAAAAAAATAATGAGAGTAGGAGTCTAGGAGAGGCATCTCGGATCGGAAGCAGATTAAAAAAAGTGTAATATACTTGGTTTTTAGTGCAATTTAAAATTACGCATACTCGTATTTATTTAAACAAAAAAAAAAAAAGGCATTATCGGCAAATCATGACCCCACGTCAACTAGAGTTGCACGGAAAGTCAACAACGTACTTTTGCGTATCGCTTCCTTCCAAAGCTTAAGATATTATTCCATCATTTGCAATATTATTACTCCACAGATTTTAATTACTTATCAAAATTTTTTAATTAATTTTTAACAAAACTATATCGACTACAATTATTAAACTGTTCCCACTCCGTAGTATTTCAATAATCTTGGATTCGCGTTCGGCTTTTCTTTTCTATTTACTTCATAGAAATGGAGAAATTGACTACCTAAACTTTACTTTATATTGTTGCCTAAACTTTTGGTCACCTATTTCAGTTTATTTATTTTCACAGTTTTATGTCATTCAACTCGTAGTTTCTAGGAAGTTGTCTCTCGTTGTTAGCAAATATTAAAGTGTACAGATTTTTAGGTGACTTAATTAGACAGCAATTACGTGTCAAATTGTTATGGCAGCATTTATTGACCTTGCAATTATTATATACATATATGGATAATAAAGGTGTTATTAAATTTTCAATAATTAAGTGTCATTATGTAGGACACTTATTTGATGAAATCTCATTATCTTATTGAAGGAACGGCCAAACTATTAGGTTTCTATATCGGCGCTCACATGTGATGTATATATTACACTCAAAAGAAATGTCAATATTACAGCTTTAAAGGCAATGCTAACTAAGTTACGTAACAATTTTTTTTTAATGAAATTAAATTATATATTTTTTTCTTTTGTATATTTACTGGAATTTTGGTACGAAACAGAAGAACAAATGTGAATCAATGAAATAAACTCTCTGTTTCCTATAACCCAGTTGAAAAAAAATGTAGATGCCAAAAAAAAAAAATTGTAATATTTTTCTATTGACTTTTGTTGTTTCCTTGGCCGTCGTGGTGGTTCGAACCATTGATCATAGAAGAAATAACGGCTGCAAGAGCCGCCGTGAAATTCGGGTCAGCTGTGAGTGCCGTTATTGTATCAGCCACCGCGTGTGACTGAGAAAACGCTGCCGTCGAGGGAGAGCCACCGGAGAACTGCAGCCCTGAGAACTTGGATTGGTTATACAATGCCTGACCTATTACATGAGGTAGCATACCCGGGGGTAAATTCGTCATTTGCTGTTGCGGCCGTTGCATCAATGAGTTTTGGTTGTTGTTGTTGCTGGTGGCGGCTGCCGAAGAGGAAGGGTTGGAACCATTAGGAGGCGGTGGTGAGTGGGTGAGGTCTAATGTGACGGTGGGAAACGGGGCGGAGGCTGAGATTGTGGCCATGCTTGTGGAGCAAGGAAGAACAGCCCTAGCTAGTAAATTTGTAGGGTTCATCATCCCATCGTGACTAGACATTGATCCGGATAGCAACATGTTAGCCGCAGCCGTGGTGGTAGAAGCCATGGCTACCGCGGCTGGAGGTAACGGATGGTTATGGTTTCCCTCGTAGGTCGTTATCAGAATTGATCTATCTTCCGCACAACGTTGAACCTATATATATCATTGTGGACCAAACGTATTAGCCAATAACGTATATACATTAAAATCTCTAATGTTTTAAATCAAGAATATTTAGTCCAATGGTTTAATCTTTTGAATCGTACTTGTTTGCGAACGGGACAACCCGTGGCCATCGTGCAGCGGTAATATGCCCGCGGACAAGGATTTCCTTTGGCCATCTTCTGGCCATACTTTCTCCATTGACATCCATCGCTTATCTATAGAAACATGAAGTACAAACATAATTAATCTCTAAAGCATATTATTTTTGATGTAGTCCAATAAAATCTTCTATAAGTAAATCAACTTACCATGGGAGCTTCCGATCGGGCACGAACCGAGACACGGGCTTTCCTCATCGTAGCTTCGGCGGATTGATCAAATGTCGTCGGGGTAGTAGAATTCACCTTCTGAATTTTGTTGGACTCGGTTTCGGGACTTTCTTCACGCCCAAGTCTCTTCCCGTTACTACGCCTCTCGGCTGCAGAAGAACCGCCCGAACGAGTTCTATCTTCGGATGAAGAATTCGATACATCCTCGGCCTCACCCACTGCTCTCGTAGGGCCTAAATCAATAAATTGCCTCGGTACTATTGTCTCCTCAGGTTTCTCAGCAGCCTCTATTACCTAATCATATAGGTTCACCAAACTTAATTGCCTGTTCATGTAGGGTAAATTCCATTTACTTGTGGTACGGTTAATCAATCAAATAATTATTTACCTTATTATTCTGTTGTTGTTGTTGCTGCATTAGTGAAACAAGATGCATCTGAAGTGAAGTGTAACTGTTGCTCACTTGTGTAAGCAATTCTCTAAGCTTTTGATTGTCCATTGTCATTTTCTTCAACTCATCTTGTAACTTAACCAACTGTGATACAAATAAATCAAAATATTAATCAAACCGGTTCAATTATTCATCTATTAATTACTACAAAATGTAAAATAAACCTAAACTTACCTCATTTTTCGCACGCTTATCTTCCATTTCAGAAGATTCTCCATCGTCGATCATTGACTCATCACTCTTTGTATTACCCGTTGTTCGAAGATTCAACCCGGTCTATAACAAATTAAAATTCAATAAAAAAAAAAAAAATTAGAAATCAAACAAACAAATTTGATATTTCTATTTGATTTTCAAATTTGAACCAAATTATTACACGACCAGACTAATACATAACATTAGTAAAAAATTTATATTTCATATGATTTATCGAAAAGTCGTACTTACATTTACATCCGTTCGATCATCTTGTTCTTCCTTCTTAACACGAAACCCGTCTTCGTCTTCACGACAAACCCTAGATTTCTTGTCGGAGAAGAAATCCACCTCGCCGGGAACTTCACGGTCATTATCTCCGACGACGCCAGATGAAAAATCATTATCTTCACGATCACGAATACCGGAGAGACTCACGGGAAACCTAAATTCACTACCGTTGGTTGATATTTTCGTCTTCTGATCATCATCTTCGTCAATTCTAGACATCGTCAAAGGATTTGAGAAACGTCGGTGATTGTTATGAGTAATACGATTAGGGTTTAAAAGATCGAGAGAAGATGAATCAAGAGTGAGACCAGACCATCCTCTGTCCATATATAGAAGAAGAAGAAGAAGAAGATCACGAGATTAACGAAAGGAGATTAAAGATTTTTAGAGAGAGATCAGAAAATGATATTATTGTTTTTGGGTTTGGTTTAAAGAGAGAGAGAGATTAAGAAAGAGTCTGTGAAGTCTTCTGCCAGAACATAAGACTCTCCTATAAAAAGGGTTTGGGACGTGGACCGATTTATTTTTTCTTTCGTCATATTTATTTTTTCTTTTTAAGTTATGAACTTTGATTTATTTTCCGGAGACTTTTTAAAAAAATTCTTAGGAGATTTACGTCAGATCCTGCGTCATTGCCCGGTTACGACCCGACCCAGAATACACCTGGATTATAAGCCCGTTTCATTTTCATTGAAACTAGATTTTATCCCGCGGTACAGCGCAGATCGATTTTTTTATAACTAAAAAATTATTTAGCAAAATTTTAAATTGTATTTGTTTTGTTAATATTGTTTATTTTGTTTAGTGTTTCTGATTTTATAATTAAATTTTGATTTTTAATTCTAGGATTTCATCCGTAGTATATTGTTTAATATTAATATCGACCTAAATCCGTTGCACCATATAATCCCGTCCCGTGAAATTAAACATCATCATTTGCTAAATATATATCCCTAAAAATTAATTTTTATTATATGAAAAAGAAGTAGAAGAAATTGTAGTATCAACATTCCCGATTTTTACATCACTCGTTACTATTAATTTTTTTTTTTTGCAGATAAAAATCAGAAGTTAACTGAGTCGAGATTTTTAAAAAAATTGTGTAGAGATTTTTGGTTAATTGTTGAGAACATATTTGATTTCAAAATCTTTACTTAAATAGATAACGAAAGATTTTGTAGAGATTTTTGCTAAATATATGAGAAATGAATACTAATGGCATGTCATTGTAATTAATGCTAATGGCATGCCATTGTAAATACTTCTCTTTAAGATTTACTTGCTAATTGTGCTCCAAAAATGTATATATAGATCGACAAAAAAAAAAAAAAAATTCATTTGCTATATATTTGGGTTGACGAAAAGGAAAAAAGAAAAAGAAAACAAGTTTGTTTGGGACTACATATATGTATTGTTAACCATTTAAAACAAACAATAGGACAACTATTTCAAAACAAATAGAGAGTGCACCATTTTGGATTTACGATTTAGTTTTTAGGGTTTATAATTTTTTTATTACAGTGTAAGATTCATGTTAAGGTTTAGTTTTCATAAATTTTTATACTATATTAGTATCTACTAATTTTAGCATATATTGCATATTTTCTTACAAATCTCTTTTATTTTCTTACGTCAAACTTCTACATTATTTCTCTTGCCAACAACTTATATATACAATAATTAAAGACTACTAGTAAACAACTTTTAATTTTTAAATAAGATTAAATATAAAGATCCCATTATTTAAATATGTTTTATATTTAAAATGGTTAAAGTTTATTTCAAAACATTTTTCTATTTTTAAATTATATAATAGTTATTAATATCTTCTGTTATTATATATGTATAATGTTTAAAACAAAGTTTTTTCCCAAATAAAAATTGAAATTGTTTGATTCGATGAATAGGATAAAATTGTATCATGAAACGAGTGAAAACATAAAATAGGATTTTATAAACGAGCGAACCTCCGTAGAAGTCTATCTCCACTACATGCCGAAGTCGAGGCCCTTCTCTGGGCGATGAAGTGTATGATTGGTGCAGATAATCAAGAGGTAGCGTTCTTTACAGACTGTTCAGACCTGGTGAAGATGGTGTCTTCTCCAACCGAATGGCCGGCGTTTTCAATGTATTTGGAGGAATTTCAGAGCGACAAGGAGGAGTTTTTATCTTTCTCTTTATCTTTAATTTCTCGTAGAGCTAATACTAAAGCGGATAATCTGGTACGAAAAAGTTCGTACAGAACCGCTTTATATCACATATATAAATAACATTCCTCAGAAATGAGTCTTTTAAGTTCTAATTAATTTTGGATGACAAAAAAAATAAAATAAAATAAAATAGGATTTTATAAGTTAACTCACTATAAATATCTTATAACTAGTTTAACTACAACTATCTACATATACATTTTTATAGTATTTTTTTGCTTTAATTCTTTTGGATCCAGGTTTGACCCGGGTTTTAGTCTATTCGGATCTTGGATTAGCAATTTAAGGGATGTTGTCTTAATTTCAAACTAATAAATGAAGCCATGTTGTCTTAATATCTTTCATATTAATGACCCTAATAAATAGCCGATTTTAATGGAAAATCGTTTTCATATTTATGCTCATAATAAATGTCCAGATTTTAACAATATATACATATATTATGAAATTATAAAGAAAAAACGTATTTATTTTTTTAACAGTATATATATATATTATTTTAATAAATTTGTTTAATATTTTAATAATAAGCTATGTCATTTTTCTTTTACAATAACAGATTAAATATAGGCAATTGCCCATATAAATTGCAATAAATTTAAAATCAAAATAACAATCTATATATATATTTTTGCAGGGGTTTTTGCTTTTAATAATTTGGATCCGGTTTTTACTCGGTTTTACTATATCCGGATCTTGGATAAAACATTTAAGGAAATCTAAAAAAACCGTCATTAATGTAGATACTTACACATATATTTCGGTATAAGCATATTCCAAAAATCTCTCCTAAATCAAAGATGTTACGTTCAAAAATTGTTGCAAAAAATCTCTACCATTGGCTGTCATCCCAACTAATTACTCATAATTATCTTTCTTATATATTTTTTTTTTTCGAGATTTGCAAGAAAATTACTCAATTCCAAAAATAAAAGATTTTGAAGATATTGTTACTTGATCAGCAAGATTTTAGGAACTCACTCACCCAAAACCCTATAGTATTCTCAAAACATTATAAATACCTTTCATTAGTCTAATAAAAACTCACCAGTTTTACAGAAAATGTGAAATCGCAGAAGTGATGCAATCTGTACGGACTCCGGGAAGAGCTAGGAGACAGTGGTGAACCGGGATCTAAACCTCGCCGACGATGTGAAGATGGTGACGAGGAGGAGATCGTAATTCTTTAGGTTTCGATTGGCAAAACAAGACGATCGGCGATCCAAAGCTCCACCGCCTGAAACGCAACATCGAATTGATCACACCGAATATCTTCAGATTTCGAATATGCTTTTCCGGTGGTAGCTTCAAAAATACACGCCGAGAACTCCTTGATACGCTACACGGAGAGTAGATCCATGCGTTTTGCTGTAGCTTTGAAGAAACAAGGCTCAGATCGACGGAGCCGTTACTGTGACCGTTAACGACGGAGTTTGAACTTTCCGTTTCTAAGTTTTTCATTTTGGGTATATGAGAGAGTTGAATAAAAACAATTTGGGCTCTGTAGATCTTTACAAAATTGGTAGACATGATTCTTTGTTATTGGGTTCTAATACTCTATGTGTTTATTTTTTCATTATGTGAACTAATGAAAGTTGCATACTTAATTTTTTTTTCATGGCAGTTCTAAACATATTATTTTTAATATTTGTGATTATATAACAATAATAGGTTAGTGTTAATTACATGGATCATTAAGGTTTGAATAGTGATAAAATAATTAGAAAATACAAATAAAATAACAAGGCCGGTGCAAAACTATTAATTCAGACCTTAATTATCGGATCAGTTCAAGCTTTAACCCATGTCTTTTTTCTGAAATTGCTAAAAATAAGTAATGTTCTCAAATAAATTCAAATATCAAATTTTCATAAATACATTAAATACGTAAGATTTAAAATTATGGAGCAATCTTTTCTAATTAAATTCAAAAATTTCTAATTCAAAAATTTCTAATTGATATATTTAAATTTTTTGGCTTTTGTTTGCCCATTTAGCTATGGTTTTTGAGTTTTTATAAAATAGTTTTAAATATTACGGGACGAATTGTATGACACAGGTTTGGTTAGGATTGATATTAATATAAATTTAAAATATCACTAATATATCGCTATAACACATATTAAATCCTCATTTTATTATTTAAAATTTAGCATACGGTATACCGCGGGTAAAATCAGTATAAGACGGGTTAAATCAGCATCTTATTCAAAATCATACAATTGAATCTATTGTTTTTATACTACGTCTATCTATAAAATTTCAATTTTTGTAATAAAATTTCGTCTCACGGTGTATTATACATTTAAATTAAACAAAAAAATAGTATATATCTATAGAATATCTTAAAACAAAATTTAATAAATTTTTCTAATAAAAATATAGACCCGCGGTGTACCGCGGGTTATGTTATAAAACAAAAAAATATCGTAAAATTGATCGTATACTATTCCACTGTAGAACGGATTAAATCTAGCGGATTTCTCATTTGACACTTCTAACATGATGATCCAATCAATCGGTTACTTTTATTAAATTTTGATGTCGAAATCACGAGAAAATGGTTATGTGGCGTAATCGTCTTGAGACTATTAAATTGATGTGAAGAAAGAGCATTGACTAGTTCTCTTCTGTTTGATCAAACGGACGAAAAGTTTGATCCACCGCTCCGTTTACTGCGGCGCGTTCCACGTGATTATACCTTTTTCTTTTTCATTTTTTTCTAAGTTATTTATTATTAAATTATTTAGCAAAATACAAAAACAGTTGGATAAAAAGAACTGAGTCAACGATTTTGACGGCCCGGCTTCTTATAGTCTGACTGGTGACCGGTTGAGCCGGTCGTTAGGTCTTACTTCCGTGGGCGGCCGGGCCCCACTCATGTAATAATTTATTTTTTGACTCATTTTTCTTTGATATATATTAATAAAGATTAGCACCTAGTTTCTTACTTTTTTTGAAGTAGACCTCGTTCTCTAAATACAACGTCGAATTTATATATATTTGGACAAAGTCGATTATATTATGTTTAGTTGCTTGTCACCGACTTAATTTTTGTTAATCATGGTTACCACATGTGATTTGAAAAATTCATGTACTTCGTTAAAAAAAAATCATATGAAGTACAGATATTTTTTTTTATAAATTACAAGAACCTAATAATAGTACATGTTTTAGGTTTGGGATAAAAAATAAAAGAATGGTAAACTTTTAGATTTTAAAGTATATATTTTCTTTTTGCTTTTATCATATTAGAAATGATACAGTCTATTGACTTTTTCTATCACCTATAAACGGTTTATTATGCTCTTCCATTATGTAAATACATCTTTCACAACACATGTACGTATCTATAATTAACGATGTACTAAATTTAGGTTGGACAATTTTAACACAAAAAAGCATAACGAATGAGTGTATTTTATAAATTTGTTCTTTAGCCTATATTGATCAATCATTGATCAAAATATACAAAGAAA